ATAGTAAATTGATCCCAAGTAAAAGCTAGTGAATTACAAGCCTAAATCTGGCATCAAAATAGAGAAAACAAGCATCAGAAGAAGCCATGACAATATCCAAAATTATCATTAACAGGACCCACGAACACCGGATTAGTTGGTTTACTCTCGTATTGATCGAAAATTCCGGTGCCAGTCCACACAAAATATGAAGACGGATTAGTCACTACTGACATGAACTTAGTAGCCTGAGTAGTCACAGTTTTCTTCAACTCCTCCATGGCATCCCTTAACTGTTTAAGTTCGTGTAGCCCTAGTTTATTGAAAGAGCCTTCCCACCCATAATGTTTGTGGCTATTTTTTCTCATATGATCCAATGTCTCACCTCTTTTTTTTGTAATTTCTAACTCATTAAGAATTTGTCCCAGTTGCAAATTGAGTTCACAAACACTGGCGTTCCTATGAGCCTCAAGAATCTGGAATGAATTAGGATTTGGAGAAGGATTTCGGGCAATAAATCTTTCAATTATGGGCTCGACATTAGGGTGACCAAAAGAGAACACTTTTCCAGCCGGAGAGAAGACTACAATGGCAATCTCAACACCGCAAAGCGTACAAAGTTCACTAGCCTTCTTGAAAAGTCCTGATCGTCGTTTGGAGAACGTAACTTGTAGGTGATTTTTTATCTCTATTTTAGCGATTTTGATTTTTTGACGACCCATGCTAAGTTTCTTGGCCATGGACAAAATTTTATTTGATTATACAAAGGGATTGGAAAATGCTTGATTTGCTTTCAAGATTTTGTGATAAGAAACTTTGGGATGAAACTCGTATGATTTATAGGGACTTCAACTTTGGCTAGTATCATTTTATTTGGTAGTTTTTTTTTTTTTTTACATTTTGCGCTTTTGATCACTTGATTTGGGAGTTAAAAAATCTTTATTTATTTAATGCATGTAATGTTCTCTTAGTTGGCATATTCACGATTAATTGACTATTTTGCATATATAAGTCAGCTTTAATTTGTGTGCAATAATTTTCTCAATTGTGACATTAATTGGTACAGCATTTCTACATTGTCAACCCAACTGTTATATTTTAATGATTCAAGAGAAGATGTGACAAAGATGAAACGTCTAACTCAACATTAATTAGATACTAATTTAGAGAAATATAAAGATGATTTGTTTCCTGTTGTAACATAAACTTATATATTGGGGGTACATGTAACCATAAGAAGCACACCAAGCTTGCTTAAGTCTTCAGAATATGCAAGTGATGTGTCTTTTACAACGGATAGGATCCATCATAATTGGTCATATTTTACACAACGTATAAATTTTTTTAGTAATGATATAAGGTTATTACGCAATCTGTTGTATTGAATAGTATATACCAATTATAATATTAAATTTCCATACATAGATAATATCATCTAAATGAATATCCAAAACAAGACAAAATAATATCATCTAAATAAATATCCATATGAATCGATATTCACGCATATAGAGTATGTAAATCCACTATGTAATTTGTTTCCAGTAACAAAGAATTTTGACAAGGCTTTTAAACTATTTCATATGCCTAGTTTACATGAAACACGAGCTCTATGGTGTAAGTTTAACACTGCAGTTTTGCTTAGGGCATGGAATTGACAATATTAAGATTTTAATTTCTTTTTGTTCGAGGTCAATTCACCTAGTTAAATGTACCATTTAATATGCTCTTTTTCCTTTCTCACTCTCACACCAACTGTAACTTCTCTTTGCTCTTTTCCATCTTCCAAAAAAAAAAGAGTAAAAAATACAATTTGATATGCCGCTTGAAATACACCAGTAAAGAGTCATCCCACGTGCAGGATAACCCATCAATTCTCAGCTCAAAGCATAACATATTCAAGTTGATTAGAAGAATATTAATGTACATAAAGTTCTTGAAATAAAGATCGTTAAATTATAACAAATATTGATCCTATGACAACTGCTAGATTGATTACAACAATAACTACAAGCAAAATCATGCCATCTTACGAGTGATTAAAGTAAACCAATTTTTTTTTTTTTGATACCCAGGTGTCAACTTTACAGCGACTAATCTTGGAGTCTACGATCCAGCCCCTCTTCACGCAGACCAGGTAATCCTGGTGTCTACGATCAATATGGCCTCATTCTTGATCTTACTTTCCTGAGTAAAACTGTGTTATCAATATTTGGATCTATTTATTCAAACATCGTTTTGAAATTAAATCCTGGAAAATTCACAGAACCAGTTTTCTCACAAGAAGAAAGAAAAAGAGATTTTCATGTTGTTTTCCTGATAGCCAAAAATCAAGCACCAAAACATTACAAAAGGCTAAATTGATTGATAAACATCATCTTGATATTGGTAAAAGACCAAGTACATTAAACTTATTTCAAACAATTTCAAATCATAATATAATTCCTTGAATATGTTTAGCGTGATAAAATCCCATTAACAAAATCAAGTAATATTGTGAATGGATTCACCACAATTAAAAGAATGGACGACCATATCCAAATGAATATCCATGAGGAGTCATCGAAAATCCAAGGCCAGGAATCTTAACATCAACATCAACCCCAACATTTCCTCTAGAACTCGATGCCCCAAGAACAGGCTGCAAAGAGTTCGATGCCTCCACAATGAGCCTCTCCACCTGATTAGCCACATTCTTCTTGAGCTCCTCCATTGCCCCCTTCAGTTGCTCGAGCTCTTCCAAGCGAAGCTCATTAAATGGCGCCTCCCACCAGCACGTCCCTTGACTGGCTTTCCTAATCCTGGTTAACTCTTCGCTGCACTTTTTCTCTGATTCCAACTGGCTGAGAATGTTGGTCAGTTGCATGTTGAGTTCCTGGACACTAGCATTCCGGTGAGCCTCCATAAGTTGCATCATGCTGGAACTCGGTGTACTGTTTCTCATCATGTAACGATCCACAATGGACTCGACACACGGGTGGCCAAAAGAGAATACCTTTTTGCCCGGAGAAAACACGATTATAGCAATTTCAGCACCGCAAAGTGTACTAAGTTCACTGGCCTTTTTAAAGAGACCAGAGCGTCGTTTTGAGAAGGTAACAAGGAGATTGCTTTCTTTTGACATTTTTGCCATCTCTATCTTTTGGCGTCCCCTGCTCTTTCTTGTCATAGCTACTGGCCTTCAACTATGAGACAAAAATTTCGGGAGATCTAGAATTAGAACAGATGGTTTCATCCACACAAACGTGAGCGCTTATATAAAGGGTTCGCTCTTATGCATAATTAATAATAGAAGTATTCCATAAGCATCGGCATATTTTCTTCCTTATAAATCAAATCTTCCTTATCAGTGTGTAGGCTCCTATTACATATCTGGTCACGTGGCATCATATCAAATAATATCTGACTAATTAGGTTCGAGAAAAAACTCACATGAAAAATCAGAGTCCTCTTTTTGTACATTATGATTTACAAATTTATGCTTCACATATATTATATCTGATTGAATAATACTATTTGCACATTATGATTTAAAAATTTATTTACGGAATGATGATGTGAATTATATCAAGCGACTCCTCTTTTTTTTTTCCTTCTGTCTTTTGTTTTTTCTCTCTCTTCTATGTCATTGTTCTGTGCATCGATCTGTAAATCATAATGTACAAATAACATTGCTTTTATGAATTTGGGTGGAGGGTTTGGAGGTATTCAAGATAGAAAGTAAATTTGGAATTAGCAGATTATTTTCTTAGAAACAAAATCAATGGACAGTACTTTTGTAATTATGTAAAAAATAGGGGATATAATATATGTGGAGCATAATTTCCTCAATTTATTTTCACCAAGTCCATTTGATCTACCACTAAATCTAATGTAAAATTCAGAAAGTAAGCCCATGTTTGGTTAAATCTGATTTTAATCTAAGTGAAAGTCAAACAATCAATATTAACCACATTTTTCATGGGTCCTACAACATTTCAACCACACATTTCAAAAATTTATATCACAATATACTAAAAAATCTAATTTTAGTCTCATCAAACATCCTCTAAATCTTTTAACGTGACATCAAGCCACGCTAATGTCACCTATACGTCTTCTAATTTATTTCATTAGAGTCATGTCGTTTTTATGAATCGAAATTCAATTATGTCTATGCAAAACTTGCCACATTGTCAAAGTCATAATTTTCTTATAATCCTCTATAGATACAACCTCGATTTGTTAAGTTATAGTCTCATTATTTACAATGTCCATTCTAGGGTGACTACACATCCATATTAGCATCCATTCTTTTAGTTATGATGTATTATGGACATTTTGTTTGTTAACTTTCCAACACTCAGTCCCATAATCATCTAATAACTTAAAATCCGTCAAATACTTTTTATTTGTTTGCTAACTCTAACTCAATACATTACATAATTTTCAAGTCCTCATTCCTTGTTAATAGTCGACCAAATAATCTATTTTTGGGCAAATATTTTTATGTAATTTCTCTTAAGTATGCAAAGCTTAAAACTTTTAGATTCAAAATTGTATATACAGTGTTGAAAATAATATTTAAATGATATACATGTGCTTGCTCTTAATAGCTTAATTATTTAAATCAAGCGATTCTACATTATGTTAAATCAAGTAGATAAAGATCATATGTTCAAGTCTTATTGTCACACATTTGACTTAGCACGTATTAATCTTTAACGAAAAAATGAACTCCATCTAATCATGTTTTATTCAAGTCTCAATGTCGCAAGGTTCTCACCATGCATTTGACATGCAAACCATTCACAAGTAAAAATGTTCGGTGAGGAGTAAACAAGTAGTAACAAAATTATATTTGTCTAAATCCAAAGTGCCTAAATAAATATTAACAAATAGTGAACTAAACAAATAGTAAAAGTGGTCACGAAAGAAATAAATTCACTACAAATATCCGAAGATTTTTCACTCTTAAGTTTAGGTTTCATTATGCGCTTCTAATATTACTTTTAATGGATGGTTATGCTTTTTATTAAAGTTGTGGGAGAATGACGCTGTGTTGTAATTGTATGATTGAAAACATATAATTACACAAAAAAAAAAAAATTCACAAAAGTATCTTATTAACTACTCATGGTTAATAAGATTAGTCTTATACTATATGACAAATATTTGCTAATTCTTGAAACGGCGATGTCGAGTTATCAAAAATTTAAAATAAATAAATAAATATGACTTTATATATATCAACATTAGTAGCTGATTTGAGTGATATAATACTATCAGCAAAGAGTCTATTGAACTTGAATACGTGTATAAAATCATAAGAAATGGATATATTGATATATTTATATTTGACTAAGAACTCCTGGATCAAAATCATATTTTTGTGTGGAACACTATTTCTCGAATTAAGCAACACAAAATTTTAGCAAATGTGCTCATTTGGGCTTTCAGTGGTAGGTTCTTAATGTAAGTATTATGCTCTAAGTCCAATTAATTTAAATTGTAAACACTTTTAATATATTGAATGAATTTATTTTTGCAAGATCTATTATTTATTTGAATTAATATTCGAATAAATTATATTAAACAATAGAGTCTGTAAATTTAAGTCTTATTTGTTAATCACAAGTAGTTGTGATTAATGAGATATGACCATCACACGTTACATTTTTTATTTGTAGAGTAAGTAGCTGATCTCACAAGCTGAAGTATAGCGACACTTAAATGAACATGTGAATATTTTGTTATAGAACAAAATATTGAAGATTTCACATGGATAACAATCTGAATGCCAGTGGTTAATCTCTAACATTCAAGAGTGAAATTGGTTTTTCAACTTGAAGTCATCATAGTGCCTTATATGAGGGTAGTCATTCTTCGGTGATGTTGGGTGTTGCTATGCAAATGATCGCTAATACGTAGCTTTCGGGGTTGTCAATAATAATATAAAATTTGTGAATTATCAATAGTTGATTCGTTACTCGTAGATAGTAAGAGAATATAATCTACATTTCATTCAGTTAAGTTGATAATTAAATCTTTGACCAAAGTGTATTCAGAAGTCGAAAAAGGAATTTTCGACTTACATCGAGTTAATGGTGAAATGAAAGATATGATCGATAATTGAGATTGATATATATCCATATCTCGTAATTGATCGGATTATATTGATGAGAAGATTATAATTTTACGGTAAACGAATAAGTTTGATTTTTAAAATGCCATGAGACATTTTTCGTCACAAGTATTGCTTTGACACATAGTTAGATGTCAATTTGAGATGACGAATGTGAATTAATGATAAATTAGAAGGGGTATTTTAATTTATCGATTAATTTATTGATTTGATTATATCAAATAATAATTCACGTCGTTAGGCATCATGATTGAGAACCTAAAGGATCATACACAAAAGTAGAACTAAAAGAATGAGATTTACGAATTAATTAATTGGATTGTTTGTTAATAGTCTAGAATTAATTAATTTATGGACCAAATTTGATTAATTGGATCAATTAAATATGAGACCAAATTAAATTTAATAGATGGGCCAAATCAACTTGGACTTATATTAACAGGTTGCTAGAGTTTGAAAAAGAGGAAATTAGGCCCATTACTTTAAAAAAATAACAAATTAGATTTATACCTACAAAGATTAAAACATTCCCCTACCGTATTTAATATGTTCATTTCCTTCTTCCACGTCATAATTAACATCTGCAGATCCCTCTCCAGTCAACACCAGAACCTCAACCACTACACCCTCATCTCCAGTTGCTAGAGTTTGAAAAAGAGGAAATTAGGCCCATTACTTTTAAAAAATAACAAATTAGATTTATACCTACAAAGATTAAAACATTCCCCTACCGTATTTAATATGTTCATTTCCTTCTTCCACGTCATAATTAACATCTGCAGATCCCTCTCCAGTCAACACCAGAACCTCAACCACTACACCCTCATCTCCATTTTTCTTAACATCATCTCCAATTTTCTTTCTTTGACCTAAATTTGATCAATTCCTCATTCTTCCAGTTCTTTACATGCTTTCTTATACGTTTTCTCTATCTCTTTCTTGCTACAGTGGTGGTGGCGGAGATGGTGCTTTTGACGATTGGAAGGCCCCTCCGAGTCTTTAAGAGAAAATAAGCAATGGCGATTGCACTGCGTAGGTTCATCTCTGCCTCTCTTTCCCTTAACCGTGGTTGCCACAACTTCGCTGTCATGTACTACCTCCAACTTCACTGCCACCAATGGTCCTGAGGTCTCTTTCTTGCTACAGTGGTGGTGGCGGAGATGGTTCTTTTGACGATTGGAAGGCCCCTCCGAGTCTTTAAGAGAAAATAAGCAATGGCGATTGCACTGCGTAGGTTCATCTCTGCCTCTCTTTCCCTTAACCGTGGTTGCCACAACTTCGCTGTCATGTACTACCTCCAACTTCACTGCCACCAATGGTCCTGAGTATTTCTGGAGCGAGGATGAGGATGTTGTGCTCTAACTCAAGTAAAGCCCACCAATTTCAGGATTGAGATAATGATTTCGAAGAAATGTGGGAAAGGGGCTGAATTTTGGGAGTTTAGGTGGTGGATTGTATGAATTATGTGCCATCTAGCCTGGATAGCGTGTCACTAGAATTCAATCGTTCATAGGGATTTGAAGTTTAAAGCCTTCCAATTTCATAATCTTGACAGCTGGGTTTCTCTAAGCTTGTTGTATTTGACAAATTTATGATAATAAAGTATATGAATGTATATATAAAAGTTTTTGATGCAAGGAATAAAAATTATGTTATGTAAACAGACCCTTCCATTTAGATTCTTCTTCTTGTAATTTGCAACAATAGACAAGTTCTACATCAGGTGGTGCTGTAATTGATGAATTCTAGAGAGAAGTTCTTTTTAACAAATTTATGATAATAAAGTATATGAATGTATATATAAAAGTTTTCTGATGCAAGGAATAAAAATTATGTTATGTAAACAGACCCTTCCATTTAGATTCTTCTTCTTGTAATTTGCAACAATAGACAAGTTCTATATCAGGTGGTGCTGTAATTGATGAATTCTAGAGAGAAGTTCTTACTTACAAGCAGTGGGAAAATACTACTCTATAGATCTTGTGTTCTTAGGATTTCAACAACTTGTTTCTAGTACCCGATTTCACCATTTCTTGATTGAGCATTGAATTTGTATAAAATTGACTCAGTTGGAGATCAATGGGTTCGCTA